ATCCACCTGCGGCCTCCTCCGACTCCAGTCTTCTTGACTCTGTCTTGACACCGGGCCCAGGCGGGGGAGGAGGAGAGAATGCAGGTAGATGCTACGCAAGTCTACTGGCACTATAAACCCCTGCGTAAGTCACCGTCCCTGCTCCCACCGCTGCTGCAGCTGTGGGACATACGGTGGTCACCGTCGAAATCGACGGACGAACTGTCGTGTGTGTGTGTGTGTGTGTGTGTATGTGTGTGTGTGTGATGAGGGACGGATTCGTGTGTAGTATATGGGCTGGCGAGGCGATATGTAATGATGGGATTTGACTGGCGGTATTTTAACACAGAGTTTCATGGATGCGCGTGCGGCCGATTAGGCCTACGCTACGATTGAATGTGCGTGGGCGGTTTGAGCAGTTAAGCGGGGTGTGATGGGTGTACGTTGGTACTCCGGGCACAGGTTCACCAGTCTCTGTGTCATGGATTACCAAGTAATCGATTAGGTCGATGTATGAGGTGACTGTGCGACCGAAAGGCCGACAGGTTGCATTGGAGCTCACATTGACGGTGGAGGAGTTTGTGGAGGCAGTTGGTGGAGTTTATGAGTTGTTGTTACATTGGGCCTAGAGATGTCCGGCAAAGCCCATCCGCGCGTAGAATGTCGGTTGGCAGCGTGGAGAGCACTGTTCGAGAACAAGTCCTCCCCATATTTAGTACTTCTATCGCCTCACAGTCACAACACTCTGTTGACTCTTCCTCGGTTGCCTGTTTCACAAAATGATTAACACAAACCACGGGTCATTATGACGTAAAGATGCGCAGTACAGCCAACTGACTGAGGTGCCAAGTGCAAAAACCTAGTCACTTTTCAGACTGCCTACGACAACTTCGACATGACGGAAGGATAACAGTCTTTGTTCATCTTCATGATTTTCAGCTTGAAAGCAAAGCGATAGAGACTGGATGATTAGGTCTTCAGGTAATAAAAAGGTCGGCAAAAACTACCCCCCCCCCAAAAGTTGTGGTCAGCGAAGAAGGACGCAAACGGAGTCACAAAGAGTTGTGCAAATAATTTACAGAATTGTCAGTCAAAAAGGTCCAGCTCAAATTTGAATTCTGATCAGTTGCTCCCCCATAATGCACGGGAAATGGGATTGAGGCAATTGTATACACCATCATTCGATAGGCAGTGCGACAAAACGCACGTCAGACTGGACGACGTCACGTCGAGAAGAAGGGGATATGATCGCTGAAACAGGAATTACAGTTGCCTGACGTTTTGGATTCTTATGGCAGTTGGTGACGATCACTCTCAAAATGCAGAGTAAATTAAATGATGTCATCTATCCTCGAAACCCTCCATTTTGGCGGAACAGAGTGAGAGAGTTCGACTGTAAATTGGTAGAAAAGGTAGAAGAAAGGATGTCTACCATCAGGGTTTTGGTATTTTGAAAAGGAGGACATCAGACAAGGCTTTGACAGGCGCAACCTTATCGGAACAAAAGTCGAGTCGAAACTGTGCGGCTTCAGCGGATGTGAAAGGAAGACTATTTAATAAATACTCATTTATCCCCCACAAATAGACCAAGAAGAGGATGCTTGAACTTTATGGAAAGTAGCTAGAAGTTAGATGTATTCAGATGAAATCAGATCGGCTTTATTAAGGGAAAGGTAGACGAGCACCTTTGAAGTCCCTTTTGGTTACAATAACGTCATGTAATTAGATGGAAGAGAGTATGAAAAGCTAATTCCGTGTGCTTTAGTCACCATCTGCGCGAGCCAATCAGATTTCCTGACCAGGCACGGATTACCATATCTACGGATCCGGGTAGAGGAGTAATGAGGAGTAAACATAAGTAAACGAAGCCTAAGAAAAACAGATTCAGATGTGGTTATTTATCCGCGCCTGAGGTAAACAACCCCCAGCCACCTGTAATACGGGACTGGTGATAAGATGGGATTTTACAGGTGAAGCCGGGAACGCACAGGCGACGAGATCAAGTAGTTGTATGCAAAAGAAAAGCTAATGGGAATGCGCGGCGGTAATTTAAATGGTTGAGAAACAGTTGCCTTAGCCTCTAACCCGAACCCTAACCTCTAGCCCCTAACACTAACCCCTAACACTAGTCCCTTACTCTAACCTAACTCCCTAACCCTAATCCCCAACTGTAACCCTAACCCTAAACCTTAAACTCTTACGCCTAAACCCTAACCCTAACCCTTAGCCGCAGCCATAAACCCTAACCTCGAAACATCCAACGTGAAATTAGGAAGACAGCGAGCTGAAAGCCAAGAAGGAACACCGGCATTGCGCCGAAAAATTTAGATACGGCAACAAAGAAACAAGACCGCCAACAGAGCACACACCGCAACGCACAGCAACATCATGCCAACGTAATCATACCTCTAGGAAACTGCTGCATTTCTCCATTTAGTCATTAACTGAGCATTAGCATTTAGGTGGCGAGTAAAATCAGTCTCACGCTGCTAACAGCCTTTGCAGAGAAGAAATAAAAAATCGTGTTTTTTATAGACAGCTATAAATAACGCCTTTCGAAACATACGATTCCTTAGACTTAGATCCTTCAGCTAAGCACATGGGCGAACTGTCGGGACGAAGAGCGTAGGGCAGCGTTCTAACACCCTACTTTTAATTACTCCTATGGCTGACATAAAATATGATCAGAAGACGAAGATTTGATCACTGGTACAGAAATTTACTAGCCTGACGTTTCGAATTTTAACTGGAATCCATCATCAGAGACAGTCGCAGATAAGGGTGGCTGCTTGCAGATGCTCAAAAAGACCCCAGATTCAATTTATTCAAAGTCGCCAAACATATGCGAA